TCCTCTACATCGGGGAAACCAAGCGGAGGCTCGGGGACCGCTTTGCAGAACACCTACGCTCGGTTCGCAATAAACAACTGCACCTCCCAGTCGCGAACCATTTCAACTCCCCCTCCCATTCCTCAGACGACATGTCCATCCTGGGCATCCTGCAGTGCCACAACGATGCCACCCGAAGGTTGCAGGAACAGCAACTCATATTCCGCTTGGGAACCCTGCAGCCCAATGGTATCAATGTGGATTTCACAAGCTTCAAAATCTCCCCTCCCCCTACCACATCCCAAAACCAGCCCAGCTCGTCCCTGCCTCCCTAACCTGTTCTTCCTCCCACCTATCCCCTCCTCCCACCTCAAGCCGCACCTCCATCTCCTTTCGACCAACCTCATCCCGCCCCCTTGACCTGTCCGTCCTCCCTGGACTGACCTATCCCCTTCCTAACTCCCCACCAACACTCACCTTTACTGGCTCCATCCCCGCCTCTTCGACCTGTTTGTTTCCTCTCCACCTATCCTCTCCTCTATCCATCTTCTATCTGCCTCCCACTCTCTCCCTATTTATTTCAGAACCCCCTTCCCCTCCCCCTTTTATGATGAAGGGTCTGGGCCCGAAACGTCAGCCTCTCTGCTCCTCTGATGCTGCTTGGCCTGCTGTGTTCATCCAGCCCTGCACCTTGTTGTCTACAGTGGACCCAGTTGGCATTGAAGTCTATATCAGGCAACTCTGAGGCTTTTTGACTGGAGGGCCTCGGCATGCTGAATGTGTCGTGCCCAGAGGCAGGTGCAATCTCCTTGGCAGTGCATCTGACAAACCTACCTGAAACTCATATGTCTGCTTTTGCATTTGTGTGAAGTTGTTAATTGCTAACATCATGGGGGGTCATCCATTGCCTGAGGCTGAGCCTGCAAAAAGCCAGCAACCCGGGGCATTTCTTCCTCAGCCAACCACAGAGACATGAAAGTGACATGCTCAAAAGTCAGTGCTGGTGGCATGGTGGCTCAGTGGTTAGCACTGCTGCCTCACGGTGACAGGGACCTGGGTTCAACTCCGCCCTCAGGCAACTGTCTGTGTGGAGTTTGCACATTCTCTCTGCGTCTGCGTGCGTTTCCTCTGGGTGGTCTAATTTCCTCCCAGAGTCTGAAGACGTGCAAGTTAGATGGATTGGCCATGCTAAATTGCCCCATAGTGGCCGGGGATGTGTAGGTTAGATATGTTAGCTGTGGTAAATATTGGGTGGGGGATGCCCTTCAGAAGGTCAGTGTGGACTTGTTGGGCTGAAAGGCCTGTTTCTACACTTGTAGAGATTCTATGCTGCTGACTCTAATCTTGATGAAATAACCACTGAATTGTCAGTATCGGAGGTAGGGGAGAGCACAGAAGGCAGCCTCGCCAGCACATCCTTTGAGAGATCTGTAGCTTCATCCTTGGAGGTGGAGAAGGAGAGGCTTGTGAGGCTACCTACTCAATGATGGAGACTGTGCAGATACCGCTGGAGGTTGCAGGAGTCAAAAGAGAAAAAGTGTCATGAAAGATGGGTAGAGGTTCGAGGCTTCCTGTGTCTCTCCCCATTCACCAAAACCTCCCAGTCCCCATTGACAAATTGGAGGATCCAACCAGCTCTGTCTGCCACCTTCAGGGCAGCCCTTCAGATGCAGGAACCATGCTGGGTAGTTCCAGACTGACACAAATTTCAAAAATGGCACTCATGCTGGGAATCTCAAGAGGTGCAGGCAGTAGTGAGTATGCGCGCCTCTGCCCAGGGGGAGGAGAGGATGAATGGGATCATAGTGATACGGTGCATAATGTAAGAATGTGAGAAATGTCACTTGGGACCTTGGAGAGAAGCCATCCATGAAAGTTGCCAAAATTGCCGCTATCTGGTAAATTTCACTTTGTGGTGTCTGCTATACAAACGAAGAACATGGCCCTTTAAGACTGTTTTGATATTCCATAAGATCATGGTCAAAATGATTTTTAACTTCAATACTATGTACCTGTATTTCTCCCATAATCTTTCAGCCCTTGCTGAACAAGAATCTATTTATCTTTGTCTTAAAAATATGTAAAGATTCTGCATCCAGTGCCTTTTGAGGAAGTCCAAAGACTCTCAACCCTCTCAAAAATTTTTTTGTCATCTCTGTCTTAAATGGGAGGCACCTTATTTTTAAACTATTTCCCCTCCAATTCTAGATACTCCTCCAAGTGAAAGCGTACCTTCTACATTCACCATGTCAAGTCCCCTTAGGATCTTATATGTTTCAATTAAGTCATCTCTTACTCTTCAGTGGATGATTCAGGCAAGATTTATTAAAGCCCTGACACTGTTTTCTGTTACAATGGCTGAAATAATCTGCTAAAATGGCTGCAAGTATCTCACTTGATTGTAAAACAAGAATACTTGATACAGTGGCTTGTTATAATCTGGTATGCATTGCCTGAAAATATGTGGCAAGTAGTTTCAGCAGCAATTTTCAAAGGAGAACTGTACAAAAACTTGAAAAGAGGAGAAATGTCAGCACTCTTATGAAAGAGAAGGGTGTGCAACTAGTTGGATACAGATGATCTGAGAGGGCTAGAATTATGTCCATGGCATGTGATGCAAATCGGGATGGACTGTGGTGCACTTGGTGTGATATCGCATTTGAAAATACATTCACTGACCTTGACCACTAGTTTGAGGTCATTCAACTTTTACAGACTGCATGCAAGCCCTTGTGGCTTGACACCTGGCATTGACCACAACACCATCTGGTTCCACTGCCTGCGCAAAGCTCATCTAATGGGCCTCCTGTCTACTTTTGGAAAAATGACATCTCTCATCCTTTCCAACCCCTTCATTAAAGTCTCCAGTGAGAGACTGGAAATCATGAAAATTTCTACTATGTTGCACTGTTATTGAAAGATCTTCATATCAAAATTTCTTTTAAAATGTCTCGTTACCTGTTTTACTCACAGTGTGCGTCCATTTTAAGTAATTGAGGCTAACTTTTAATTATGCTGGCTTCTCATAAAATTGTGCTTCCTGCTGAAGCGTGCAGCCACTTAACAGCAGGTTTAATGCTGCCTGTGTGCTGCAATCACTTAAATTAGCAGGTAGCATGAACTCTGAATGCTGCCAACATCAGAAGCAATGGGCATAGGGTATACAATGAATCATGATGTCTGTGCCATTTTTGGGCCTTGTCCAATTTCACCTCTCTTTTTAATGGAAAAGAAATTGTCAATGTGTTGCAAACATTTTTTTAAAATTTCTCTAAGTTTATCTTCAATTAAAAGATAGATTATGTTCACTTGAATTTCCAAAATTAAAACTCCTTCCTATTTTTGCATTATAGCAAAGTAATGATATGACTAGACCTTTCAAATTGGGCAGATTCAACAAACACAGGCAGAAATAATAAATCTAACTGCACGTGCCCAGGCAATATTCCTTATCTTAGCATAAAAAATAATTTGACATATAAGTCTTTGGTTCCAGTCGTCTTTAATTAAATGCCCTCTCTGTGTGATTGTAGAAAATTATATCAGCTGTAAAAGGCACTTGATAAAATTCCAAATGGCTGTTATCCTTAAATAGGCAGCACAGTGGCTCAGTGGTTAGCACTGCTGCCTCACAGCACCAGGGATCTGTGTGGAGTTTGCACATTCTCCTTGTGTCTGCATGGGTTTCCTTATAGATGCTCCAGTTTCCACTCATAGTCCCACAGATGTGCAGGGTAGGTGGATTGGCCATGTCAAATTGCCCATAGTGTCCAAGGATGTTTAGGTTAGGTGGCTTGGACATGGGGAAATGCAGGGGCATGGGAATGGGTCTGGGTGGGATGCTCTTCAGAGGGGCGGTGTGAACTTGTTGGGCTGAATGGCCTTTCCCCACACTGTAGGGATCCTATGATTAACTGGCTGTTTTGGTTCACAGATGAGTGCTTTCTGAACAATGGAGGATGCAGTCACCATTGCACTTTTGTAACAGGGGAAGGCCTCGTCTGCTCTTGCCCGACAGGAATGCACTTAAGCTCAGACAAGAAAACCTGCATTGTCCTCGATTACTGTAGAAACCATCTCCGGTGCAGCCAAATATGTGAGCAACACAAGAAGACAATTAAGTGCTCATGTTATGAGGGATGGTTACTTGCACCTAATGGTGATAGTTGCATTAGTTTAGGTGAGTCATTGTTTTCTTTAACGGCATATCTTTTTCTGTTAGCATTCATTTGAATTTGTACTGTAATCAAGGCGTGTCTTTTTTTTTGACAGATCCTATTGAGCCGTACATAATTTTTTCCATTCGGCATGAGATTCGAAGACTGGATCTTCACAAGCAAGACTACAATTTATTAGTCCCTGGCTTGAGGAACACAATAGCAATTGATTTCCATTTCAATCAGAGTTCTCTCTACTGGACTGATGTTGTGGAAGATAAAATTTACAAAGGAAAGCTGTCAAAAGTTGGAGGTATAAAATTTTACATAGTTAACTTGTCTTTCCAGTTTCTACTATTGCCCTTTAAAACACTAATTCATCAGAATGCTTCAGCGAATATGCAAGAAATAGTTACCAGAGGATATTTCCAGATGAAAATGCGAGCATATCCTGATGTATACTTATATGAAACCGGCCCAAACTCATATGTAGATTTCAAACAATTTTCAAAGGAGGCTCAGTCCATTTTAATAAACTGATAATTATCTGATTCTGGATGGAAGCAGAGATTGAATGTACCAAGTTAAACAAGGTATCTGTACAGATTCACAATGATATTGAATTAATATACCAGAAAACAAAGATCAAATGTTCAGATCTATTTAAGATCAAAATACATTTGGCACTCAAGATCTGATATCAAAACAGAAATGCTGGAAATACTCAGCCAGTCATGTCGCATCAGTGGACAAGCAAACAAACTTAATAGTTTATGTTCTGATGAAAGGTCATTGACCTGGAATGTTAGGTGTTTCTGTATCTCCAAATGCTGCCTGATCTGCAAAGTATTTCCAACATGCCTGTTAACTGGTGTGTTTTGCAATTATCAATTTTTTTTTTCCTTTAAACAAGCACACACTTATGTATTAAATTAGTGGGCTGACCACGGAATGAAATGTTTAAATGGATTTGAGAATAAACAGAGGTGCTGCTGAATGAGGTAAAGATTATGATAATGTTGAGTGGAGTTGGAGTGCAACAACAAGTGAAGGCTGAAGTGTAACAGGGAGGCATGGTGGCTCAGTGGTTAACACTGCTGTTTCACAGTGGCAGAGAGCTATGTTTGATTCCAGCCTTGGGTGACTGTGTGGAGTTTGCATGCTCTCCCCATGTCTATGTGGGTTTCCTTCAAGTGCTCCGATTTTCTTCCACAGTCTAACCTCAGGTGGACTGGCCATGTCAAATTCTTGGCAGTGTGCAGGCTGTGTGGGTTAGCCATAGTGGTTACAGGGGTAGGGGATTGGTTATGTGGGATACTCTTTACAGCATTAGTGCACACTCGATGGGCTGAACAACCTCTTTCTGCACAGTAGGGATTCCATGATTCAATAAGAATTTGAAGCAAAAACAGAAAGCACTGGATTAAGCTTCACAGGTCTGGCAGCAACTGTGGAGAGAAAGCAAAATTAACATTCTGGGTCCAGTGAGCCTTCTTAAGAACACGAATGACTTAGTCACCTTTTGCTTGATCATGCCAATCCTCACATTTTAACTAAGAAGTTAGCTCAAGATGAGAATGAGAAGGCCAGTCTGCACCATCTTAAAACACATCATCAATGTTGAATGCACACTTTCTACCATGAGTTACTTTGCTGTGACATTTCTTCGAATTATGGTGAGATTTTATCCCACTTAAATCGATTTCTAAATGATTTAGCATTCATCTTCCACCTCATCACCTCATCTGTATAATTGATTGATAAGGCTGAAACGAACCGCAAGTCTTTTTGAAAGCTCAGCCATATAAGTTCAAGGTTCGATTGACTGCATCTTCGTAAGTGAAATATGGCAAATCAGAAACTGCACAAGGCAAGACTGAAGTCATGCAATATGGTATATCTTTACAGCAGTTATAGTTTCATAAATGGAATCAGTGAATTTATATACAAACACAATATTAAGCTTTCCTTCTTTAATCATAATTTTGTGCAGAATTTTAATCTTACATTCTGTATTATGTGACATTAGAACATCAAGATTAGAATAGTTATACATTTCATACAAGTTGATTTCGCCATGTCCTGATCAGACTTAGTCATTAAAATGTACCTGTCCCTGCTCATCTAAAGTCATAGAATCATCATAGAGATATTCAGAACAGAAACAGACCGTTCGGTCTAACTTGTCCATGCTGACCAGAATCCTAAATTTATCTAGTCCCATTTGCCAGTATTTGGCCTATATCCCTCTAAATCCTTCCTATTCATATACCCATCCAGATTCCTTTTAAATGTTGTAATTGTACCAGCCTCCACCACTTCCTCTGGCAGCTCATTCCATAAATGCACCACCCTCTGAATGAAGAAGTGGCCCTTCAATCCTTTTTAAATCTTTCCCCTCTCATCTTAAACCTATGTCCTCTGATTTTGGACTCCTGCACCATGACAAAAAGACCTTGTCTATTTTATCTATCCATGCCCCTCATGATTTTATAAACCTCTATAAGGTCACCCCTCAGTCTCCGAAGCACCAAGGAAAATAGCCCCAGCCTATTTAGCCTCTCCCGAGATCTCAAACTCTCCAACCCTGGGAAAATCCTTGTAAATCTTTTCTGAAACCTTTTCAACTTTCACAACATTCTTGCTATAGCAGGGAGACCAGAATACACACAATATTCTAATAGTGGCCTACCAATGTCCTGTACAGCTGCAATATGACCTCCTAACTTCGACACTCAATGCGCTGACTAATAAAGGCAAGCATACCAAATGCCTTCTTCACTAACCTATCTACCTACAGCTCCACTTTCAAGGAACTATGAAACTGCACTCCAAGATCTCTTTGTTCTGAACACTCCCCAGGACCTTATCATTAAGTGTATAAGTCCTGCCCTGAATTGCCTTTCCAAAATGCAGCACCTCACAGCACCCCACAACCACCACCCTCTGCCTTCTACCTTCGAGCCAGTTCTGCATCCAAATAGTTAGCTCTCCCTGCATTCCATGTGATCTAACCTTGCTAACCAGTCTACCATGAACATTGAATGCCTTACTGAAGTCCATATTGATCACGTCCACTGCTCTGCCTTCATGAATTCTCTTTGTTATGTCTTCAAAAACCTCAATCAAGTTCATGAGACATGATTTCCCATGCACAAAGCCATGTTAACTATCCCTAATCAGTCCTTGCCTTTCCAAATACATGTAAACCCTGTCCCTCATGATTTCCTCCAACAACTTGCCCACTGATGTCAGGCTCACCGGTCTGTAGTTCCCTGGATTTTCCTTACCACCTTTCTTAAATAGTGGCACCACATTAGCCAACCTCCAGTCTTCCGGCACATCACCTGTGGCTATCAATGATACAAATATCTCAGCAAGGCGCCCAAGAATCACTTCCCTAACTTCCCATAGCTCTGCTTTTCTTGCATATTTTCCAACGAATGCACAGATTCAAACATATCAGGCATTAGTACAGAAACATTAAAACTGTGAAAAAATATACTATTTTTACCTGGACTGATTGGGAAAGGGAAGCAACTAAATGATCAGACTGCTAATATTACACTGAGTAAGCACATAAACTCCAATGAATGTTCCTGTAGGTAGCTGGGTTGAGACTGGGAGTCGACCATGAGGAGAATGACATGCATTAGAAACATCATTCCCGTGTCCTTAGCTGCACCAAATTCTGAGCTACCAGCTGCTTATTATTAGAGTGTTTAAGTTGTATTTTTGTTTAGTTTTGCTGCTTTTCTAAGCACAAAATAAATAAGCTACAAGTATTGCTTCACATCTTCTGAATGCCAAAATGAAAAAAGTAATTTTCAAGCCAGTTTATTTTCCCATTCATTGAGGGTTTATTGGATAACCTTTTGCTGCATGGGCAAATGCAGCAAATAAATGTGATTGAATTCAACATGCATTTAAAACAGTGTAATTGTGTAGAGTGTAATGCCTGAATTTATTGACTTGTTTTTTCAGGTGTGTATGTTAATTTTGTAAAAGATGAATATACCAGTTATTAGTGAAGAAGGAGCTAAATATATCTAAAATTTAGTCTTATGGAATGGCATGATTGTTTTTCTTCAGCTGTAAGCAACGTGGAAGTTATTGTACAGCATGGTCTAGACACTCCCGAAGGGTTAGCTGTGGACTGGATTGTGGGAAACATCTACTGGATAGACAGCAAAATGGAACAGATTGAAGTGGCAAAACTGGATGGCAGCATGAGGACTACCTTAATCGCAGGTTCTATGGTGTATCCACGGGCCATAGCTTTGGATCCTCGATATGGGTTAGTTTGCAAATTTCATTTTCTGGAAACTGAAAATAAAGTATTTTACTATATCATGTTAACTTTGCTTGTGAAATAGAAGAAATGAGGGGATGTTGCTGCCATAAAAGTTTGTATCTGAGCTGCCATTTTTAATTTTTGAAAGAGGAGCATGCTAATAGGAACAAATTATTTACTGAATATAGAGTAAATAACAAGGCTAGAGGAGCAAAGCAATCTGGGAATAGAGACATCACTATAAATAGCACATCAAGATAATAAACTCATAAAGTGTGTTAGTAAAGTTTTAAAAGTTTTAATTCCTTGATAAATACAAGAAATGAAGAGAAAGATAAAGGTGTAAATTGCCAATGATAATTTGAGAGGGAAGAATTCATTTCAGCTGAAAGTCCTGTTCTGTGCTATCAGTTTTATGAAATTATATGTTAAATTAGCCATAAATCTTATCACAATCTTGTTTAATTAGACCTAGATATCAACTTTCTTATAACTTAAATAGTTTATGTAATTATAGGTGTGAAATTTTATGATTCATATCCTGCATTGTTGATGACGGATAGTTGTGGGTTGGTGGAATGTTTGATGGATAACGGTTTCACTCTTGTGATTGTTAGATTGTTTTTGGTGAGGAAACTTCTGCAGGTTAATTTTCACAGGCCAGTAAGTTTGCAATCTATTCAAATAAAATATCAATTTCTTTCTAACACTATATTTAAACTGTCCCAAGTCAGGAGATTAGAGTCGGGAAAATTCCCAGGCCAGCTGAAAGCAGCTCAGGAGAAAGTGCACTGGAGAGTCTGATTTTTGTTCTGGCAGGGCAGATGATCATTGGAATTGGTTCCGCTACCTCTGGAAAGACCCACAGATGCTGTTGGATATATAGTGGCCTGTTTAAAAGCTCCACCTCGGTCCTCTGTTATAATATTCTGGCTCCCAAAAATAATAAAACAAAGAACAGCCTTCTACCTTTCACACCCCACATCCTTTCATACCCCAACACTTTCTCAATGCTCCATATTAACCTATGCCACTTCATCCCTCCCATTCGTCCCCGTGAACCTCTTACCCCCATGCCAATCTATGCAACTGATCTATCTAAATGACCCTTTTGAGGCCTATGTCAACTTAATGCCAACTCATGCCAATCATTGTCCCATCTTTTGTGCTTACACCCTCCATATCAACTCACTCTAGATTGATTTTAGGAACCATGCTGGGATGAATTCAGGTGAAGTTCTAAGTGACTTGACAAATTCACTACCTAAAAAAAGACTCTCATCAATAAAGAAAAATCACTCAATAAAATTATCTTCAACTTATTAGCTTCTTCTAAAAGGAAACATTTATATTCATCCAACGCCACTTCAAAAAATGTATGATCACCTTGAGCTGCCAATTGAATGATGAATTGACTGATGCCTCAGTGTAATAATGACAGATTGTGAATAAGCCATGAGGCACAAATCATTCAGTGGCTGCTTTTAGGTTTGTGTCAATGGAACATGTGAAATAGCAACCACTGATTTTCATCAAAAATAAAGTCAGCTGTCTCAAAAATGTAAAGCTTATGAGATGTAAATTACTTGACATGTTCCAATGAGCTCCATTGTTCATTTGAAAATTCCTTTGATAGTTTTAGAAGTTCACTTTTTATGCATATTAATATCTAAGCTAACAATCCCAAAGGGCACTTGAACTACACAAGGAGTATCTTATCTCTTCCAGAGGTATCCCTAGGCCTAGACAATTGGGTACCTATCTTTTCAATTAATTCTAGCAGTATTAGACCTTGTCTTGAAAGTTCTAAAGCCTCAAGGCATGTTTTGGACATTCCATGAACAAACATTGGATTTGACTGAAGGCAATTACACTTTAATGTATACAGTTGCCTCCATGACCGACAAATTACCTCCTCATCAATTCACCACCAACCCAACTCCCCATCCCAATACACCTGTGAAAATAATGTGCGATTGCTTAGGAGTGGGACTTCCTAAATCAGAGCTCAGGAGACATGTTAGCTAAGTAGCAGACCCTCTCGCTCATTGCTAAACTTTAAGTTTATACACTTGTATGTCTTTCAATACATGAAATATGACATACAAAATGTGATGAATGTTCTCAAAATATATATTTGACATCTTTGATGTATAAAAAGCATAGAGCCATCTGCCATTGCATGTAGAAATACAAGATCAAATTCATTTACCAGATCAAGCAGTTATCAGGGAGACACATTTTAACTGAAAAAGAGATTGGAAAGAGGGACAAAGTGATGAACTGAAGGAGGAAAGAGAAAAATATCGCATGAGTTGGAAGATGGGAAGAGAAGGGTTGAATAGTAAGAAGTGGAAGAGATGGAACATTTGGCAAAATCATGAAGTTAAATGATCATAGAGAAGCAAATGCTCAAAAGTACTTCAATTCCCTGAACACAACAATGGAGCATAGATAAATAAGACATATTTAATTCTTGTGATCCTATTTATGAAGCGAGAGGAATAAAGGAGGACTGGTATTATTGTTGATTGTGATGAAAAGGAAAAGTTAGTAACATATAATTCTGAGTATGTTGCTCCCGGAGATGATAGTGACAAATTTTCCACAAGCATATATTTATCCAATTGACATTCCTAATCCTATTGACATTCCTATCACTGAGACCAGAGAGATAAGAACCCAGTTTGAAGGTCCTTGTCAACTACTATGTCTTGGAAAGAACTTATTTATGATTGATCGTACTAAAGTTAGTCTGAGCAGGAACAGCAGCAGCAAGGGAGCGAAGGAGAGCGAACCTGGGGATGAACAGCGGTAACAGGATAAAAAAATGAGGAGTGGGATCAATCAGAGCGAACCTGGGGGTGAACAGCAGGATAAATACCTGAGGAACAGGGTCGGTCAGAGTGAACCTGGGGGTAAACAGCAGGATAAATACCTGAGGAACAGGGTCAGTCAGAGTGAACCTGGGGGTAAACAGCAGGATAAATACCTGAGGAACAGGGTCGGTCAGAGTGAACCTGGAGGTAAACAGCAGGATAAATACCTGAGGAACAGGGTCAGTCAAAGTGAACCTGGGGGTAAACAGCAGGCTAAATACCTGAGGAACGCAATCAGTCAGGACGGAACTAGGGGTAAACAGCAGGATAAATACCTGAGGAGTGGTGTCAGTCAAAGTGAACAGCGGCAGCAGGATATATAAATGAGGACTGGGCTTAGTCAGGGCAAATGTGGAGCTGATTCGAAGAGGGGAGCTCTGGAGGTGACATTGTGACTCAAAACCAGACTTCTGCTTGGCTGCTCAGGAACCAGTTTTGCAGACTGAGTAGGGTCTGTAGAGAGATAAAGTACTTACATTTTGTAGTTGTAGTGAGCTAGGAACAGAGACTAGGAGTGAGAGACTAGAGTTTGCTTACTTGTTGATTAGTTTGTGTAATCAGTTCCTGGATTATGGTCTATACTTGATAAGGTTGATTTAGTTGATATGGTTCACAATGGTAGGAGAACTCAGCCCTGTGGAATGCTTCTCCTGCAATATGTGGGAAATCAGATGTGGAGGTGCCAGTGTTGGACTGGGGTGGGCAAGGTCAGAAATCAAAGAACACCAGGTTATAGTCCATCAGGTTTATTTGGAATCACAAGCTTTCATAGTGTTGTCACTTCGTCAGGTGAAGTGGAAATGCTCTGAAAGCTTGTGATTTCAAATAAACCTGTTGGACTATAACCTGGTTTCATCTGACTTCTGACCTGGGAAATCAGAGATACTTCCAATATCCATGGTGATAATTTATACAGGAAGTATGATCAGCTGCAGCTCCTTATTGACCATTTGAATTCTTGGAGTTGTGAAAAGAATCACTGTGGACCATCCATGAGTCTGAGAATGTCTTGGATAGCACATTAAGCGAGCTAGTCACACAACCAGTAAGGGCTTACACAGACAGAGGAGAACTTGGTGACTACCAGGAAGATGAGTAAGCATGGTTAGGCAGTGCAGGAGTGTCCTGTGGCCATTCCCCTCTCGGTCAGTTATACCATTTTGGATACTGTTAGGAGATGGCCTCAGGGTAAATCAGAAGCAGCAGTTGGATCAGTGACAACATGACTGGCTCTGTTGTAGAGTAGGGACTGTTGAAGCATAGACGAGCCGTAGGGATAGGGCAGTCTATTGTCAGAGGCACAGATCGACGTTTCTGTGGCCCCGAGTGAGACTCCAGGATTTTGTGTTGTCTTCCTCGTGCCAGGGTAATGAATGTCTTTGAGTGGTCGCAGGATATCCTGAAGCGGGAGGGTGAGCAGCTGGAGGTTGTGGTCTATATTGGTACCAACGACATAGGCAGAAAGAGAGGCAAGGTCCTGGAGTGGGAGTTCAGGAAGTTAGGTGGGAAGTTGAAAAGCAGGGCCTCGAGGTTGTAATCTTGTGATAACTTCCTGTGTCATGTGCCAGTGATGATAGGAATTAGAAGATAGGACAGTGAAATACATGGTTAAAGAGCTGGTGTAGGAGGGAGGGCTTTAGGAATCTGGATCATTGAGATGTCTTCAGCGGCAGTTGGAACCTATAAAGGACAAGTTGCACCGAAACTAGAGGGGCATCAGTATCCTGGCAAGGAAGTTAGCGAGTGTCAATTGGCAGGGCTTAAACTTGTGTGGGGTTGGGGAGGGAGGATGTTGTGGAACAGAATCAGCAAGTAAACTAACCGAGGAGGAGTTGGAGACTAAGAGGAAGGACAGACAGGGGATGTTACTGAACACGGCCTGGAATCTGAGGTGTATTTGTTTTAATGTGAGGTTTATGATCATAAAGGAAGATAAACGTAGAGCTTCAATTGAAACATATATTTATTACAGAGACTTTGTTGAGAGAGGAGCAAGACTGGCATCTGAATGTTCCAGGATTTAGATGTTTCAGGCATGAGAGAGAAGAATGTGAAAGAGATGGGGAAGTTATGCTACACATTATGGAGTACATCACAGATGGCTAAAGGAGAATACCTTGGAGG